CTCTGGACAGTTCCTATTTTTAGTTACTTTTTATTTCTTAGGTTAAATTGTAAAAAGTAGTTGGTAAGACTAGTTTATAAGGAACGCGGCGCGAAAAAGAAGAACGTCGTTCTTCCACTTCTTGTACGAAAGCGAAAGAGTCAGCACGTGCGCGTATTAATAAAAAGTGCAATCCTTGCAAATAGCAAGAAAAGTCGTCGTGCGTCATTTCCTACAACGGGCTCTCCTTCACGAACCTTAGTCCCCACAACCATGCCGGACGGCCATCCACGACCACCACAGCCGACAATGTGACACGAGTGAGGGAATTGTTTAACTCAGACCGACGATTAAGTGTTCGTTTAATGGCCGATATGTTAAATATTCCAAAAACTCAAGTGTATTGCATCGTCACGAACCATATCGGCAAACAACTGGACGTTACACTACGCTCCGGCCCATACCGCCTTTATCGTCTCCGACTACTTGGTTAAAGCAGGGGTGCCAACGATTCCCCAGCCCCCGTACAGCCCGGTCATAGCTCCCCCCGATCTTTTTTTGTTCAAGTCAAAACACCCATGTTCTTTTGTGTTCGAATCAAAACACCCATGAAAGGCAAGATTTTCGGGACAGTAGACGGAATCGAAAGAGCTTGTACGGCGGCATTGAAGGAAATTCCGGAGAAGGCCTACAGCAATGCATTCGAGAGCTGGAAGATTCGCTGGAGCCGATGTATTGACGCAGAAGGAGCCTATTTTGAATGTTTCGGTGGCACAAGGCCTTTTTGAAAGGCCGGGAAGAGGTCGACGGCGAGGACCATGCCGGACGGCCATCCACGACCACCACAGCCGACAATGTGACACGAGTGAGGGAATTGTTTAACTCAGACCGACGATTAAGTGTTCGTTTAATGGCCGATATGTTAAATATTCCAAAAACTCAAGTGTATGGCATCGTCACGAACCATATCGGCAGATAACTGGACGTTGCACCACGCTTCGGCCCATACCGCCTTTATCGTCTCCGACTACTTGGTTAAAGCAGGGGTGCCAACGATTCCCCAGCTCCCGTACAGCCCGGTCATAGCTCCCCCCGACTTTTTTTTGTTTCCACGAGTCAAAACACCCATGAAAGGCAAGATTTTCAGGACAGTAGACGGAATCAAAAGAGCTTGTACGGCGGCATTGAAGGAAATTCCGGAGAAGGCCTACAGCAATGCATTCGAGAGCTGGAAGATTCGCTGGAGCCGATGTATTGACGCAGAAGGAGCCTATTTTGAAGATTTTTAATCATTTGTAACGAGCAGTTCAATAAATGATTTTTAATCGACTTACTGACATTACTTTCAGGACATACTATGTATATATTAAACGCTACGTACAATTTAATAATAGGCTAATTTATAAAACATAACTGAAATTCCTTTAAAGAATATTTTGCTTATAAGTAATTAAAAAAAATTCGTTTATAAGTGCTAATACAATCGAGATTATTGAAAAATTTATCAACTTTTGTACAAATTATATACAGCTCCCAGTTGCTGAACCGCCACATTCTCCGGTAACTTAAAAGCTACGTTACATTTGTGCGTAAATGTATTGTATGTAAATATGTAAATAAGTATGTGTTGTAATTGTATGTAAACGCTAGTATTACACGTGTAAAAAATTATATTTTCATTATAAAATATTCACTGATACTTTTAAAATAAAAGGTCACTAAGATATTCGACGATAACCTGAAATCGTACAAGTTTCAAAACTTCAACTCGATTGCGGCACGGGTCCCTGTTATCCACTCATACTGAAATTTTGACATTATCATTTTTTCATCAAGTGTCACAATTTTAGGAAGTGAGACGATGAAAAAATCGAAAAAAAAAAATCGAGCTCTATGGCTAAGGGCCACCCTAGTGTACATACTTGGATTGCGCTCGCGTTGGCCCATATACCAAGTAAGCAGTGTTTATGCTATTACTTTTTGTGAATTCCATTGCGTGTTTTGGCATTCACACGGAGGCAGGTGTGGTCATTCGATGCTATCAGCAGCCTAACCTAACCTAGCCAAATCTGATTATCAAAAACAAAAGGGATGGAAATGATAAACTCGCTGAGATATGTGGAAAAATCACTTTTTGGACCGTTTCAGTTTTTGGCTTCTAAGGGGCAGAGGGGTGGGAGTTAAGGGATGGGATGACCAACGTTGAAATCACCAAGTCGAGGGCTTTTTTTTGATATATAAATCAGTTGAATCGGAGGGTACCCCATTTTCTTGAACTTAACCAAGGATACTCCGCATATAACGTGGAATTTGAATATCTACTCTTAAATCAACCGCGCACGGAATTCATACCCATCAATGAGGAAGAAAAAGCACAATTTAAGACTGTGGGAAATCAATACGTAATTCAAAGAAAACACCCGAACTATCTTACATCATCCTCAAACGCTTGTTTGATAGAATTACTCCTAAAGAAAAACCAAGAATGCTCACAAAAATATATAAAACTACAAAGTACACTATTCATTCAACTCTCAACGAATCAAGATTGGATACCATCGCTCCAAGAAAAGAGCAAATACATATTATATGCGAGAACCAAGATCCACACATAATGATAATACAAGATAGAAGCATAATACATTTACCACAAGGATGCGCAGGAACTACAGAAGAAGCCATTATAAAAGCAGGAGGAGAAAAAAGAAATACAGTAAATATTCGATATGTGCACAAATGATCTGTACGATATGTGCACCAAAGTTATCCCCACCACTGGGGGGAAGACCCCTTCAGACGCCGAGAAGCTCGGTCGCCGAGAAATGTAACATGATCCGGGGTCGGGTATATCCATGAAGCAATACATATACAAATATAAAACTTTTTTATTTTTGATTTTTTCGAGATCCAACTTTTACCAATAGATTCTTTATATTTTTCTGATTAAAAGAAGACCAAACACGACATAATTTGGACTATATTTACTGGTTTAATTGACGATGAAAGTTTTTCACGTCGAAGAGGATAGCGAGTCAAAAAGAAAGAGACGCTACGATCGTGGCAGTCGGCAAACATCAAAAGTCTATTCAATTGTTCACAATCCTAATACGTTGCTAACTTTTTTATTTTTTATCAAATTTTTATAAAACTTTCTCTATCATGTTCGTGACATTTTCCTGATTAAAATGAGACCAAACACGACGTAATTCGAGTTATATTTACTTGCAATATCTTATTAGAGTAGTCATCGATGTACGCGTAACATTTGAAATTACAAACAAATATGTCCCGAAGTATATCGTGTTTGGTCTCATTTTAATGAGAAAAATGTCACAAATATGATGGAAAAAGTTTTAAAAAAAAAATCAAAAATAAAAGTTTTATTCTTGCCTTAGGAGTGTCCTTCTGGTAGGTCACTGTTTGTTTACGTTCAGTCTCCTTCGCTCGAAATGTAGGAACTGTACGATATCTGCACCAGTTCGACGTTCGGCAAAACATCAATCAATGTAGGAACTGTACGATATCTGCACCAGTTCGACGTTCGGCAAAACATCAATCAATGTAGGAACTGTACGATATCTGCACCAGTTCGACGTTCGGCAAAACATCAATCAATGTAGGAACTGTACGATATCTGCACCAGTTCGACGTTCGGCAAAACATCAATCAATGTAGGAACTGTACGATATCTGCACCAGTTCGACGTTCGGCAAAACATCAATCAATGTAGGAACTGTACGATATCTGCACCAGTTCGACGTTCGGCAAAACATCAATCAATGTAGGAACTGTACGATATCTGCACCAGTTCGACGTTCGGCAAAACATCAATCAATGTAGGAACTGTACGATATCTGCACCAGTTCAGACCCGAGAATGGTGCACATATCGAATATTTACTATACCACATTAAATATACCTATTGAAACAACGGAACATCTGGACCATTGGAAACAAATATTAGCAGATAGACAAATTGACATACAAGATCTCAATATCACATACTTGAAGAAAACTCAAATAACGGCGCAAGATCTTTAACTAATAGAAACAACTATAGACAAAATAAATCAGCAGATCGAGATATTATCATTAAAAAGAAAAACAATGACTACAATGGAACGAATTAAATATTATGTCACAATATTAGGATATGCGAGCTTAATTGGAGCCACATTATATATCCTGTACAAAATGAACTGCCTACGACCTGCATAGAACGTACTAAGAAGAATTTTAACGTCATGTATCACCATTTACGATCATTGCTCATTCGGAACATACGCACAAACGATAGATAGAACACCTACGGAACCAGTCAGAATGACAGATCTAATGCACCAGGAAGAAGAACCACCCCAGTATCAAGAACGAGAACTTTCGACGAGATCGAGACTTTCGAGGAAAATATTTTACAGACTACCAGATAACGAAGTACACTAAAACCATATGTTACAGGATGGGGTATACTAACATACTAGACATTTATTGGAGGAAGACCTACTACAAATATTCATTGATACCATAGAAAATTTTATTTGCACCAGGGGAACCGAAGATAATAACTTAGTTTACACCACCCTCCAAGACGACATCCAGGAACAATACTACTGCAAAACTTGCCAACCGGAATTCGACCCAGTGACAATCGAAGAAATCAGGAACTCATGGAGTCACGAAAAGTATGGTATTGAAAAACACATTTTACCAATTCGACAATTAGCCGAGAAAGAACCGTGCGTAATATGCGGGAAAAATCTTCATAAGTACAGACGCGCCGCAAAATGTAATCTATGTTCGCAATTTTTCTCTAGATTTTTCTATCTATTAAAAACTAGATCATTAGATATCCAAAGATATATTGTAACATGTTATAGTAATGACATAGAACACAAAGAAAAAACCAAAAAATATTTATACCGACCTTTCATAGAATGGAAAAACGATCCTAATCTAATAAATAAGTTAGAAAGTGTATTAGAATTAGCGCTAGAGTTCGAACAAGGTTTAATAGAATCAAATAGGAATGTAGTATGCGAGTAAAATATTAATTTGAAACGCAAATCAAAATGCGAGGACACATTTTTTTTCGCCCCGGGAGGAATCTCACGGGCTAAAAGTCGTAACCAAGATAACGCGCGGTCCTGGACACAAATAAGATAAGCCAAAAACGGTAACGCAATTCAGAGATAAGAAGAGGACATAAAAACAGTAGCAACAGGCGCGTGCGACGCAGTCTAGAAGAATCGTAACATACTACAGTCAGAGTCTTAATCAGAGCGTAATCGATACACTGAGGAGTCGGATATCGAGAGCGTTCTACCGCCATTTTGTAACCATAATTGTTAACATTGTAGTATAGTGCGGGTGAAAATAAAGTTCTTTTTTTAAAACCCAAACGGATCCTTCTCGTGTGTAACAAAACATTTCCTATAATTTTGAATTTGGGCTTGTATGACCAGCCACGTGAGAGTTGCCGAAATGCTAATATTACGTAACCATTTCGAATTTAATCTAATCAGTGGGCTGGGCTAGGTTGGGTTATATTAATATTTCGATCGCCTGACAGTGGCCGACCACATGAGCCAGACATTGAAATCAGTTAAGTTTCATTTTAAACTTCACCCGTTATACCTACAGATTTTTGGCCGTTATGATGTGTCTACAGAAAAAAAGGAGAAGTGGTCCCATACTAACATATAATATTACTAGGGACTTTTAAAAATACACAAAATTCAATGAATAACAGAAAGTTTTTCGCGAACATTTTGAAAACCAAAGTTGATAGAAAAATAGAATAAATTGTTATAAATTCATTCCTATAACGTTTAAAAATATATCTATTCTTAAAAACTATAGTATGTAATTATTAAATATGACATATATAATATGTAACTTAATTGGTCGAACTGGGTCGAATATACATAATATCGGTCGTGACGTTTGTTTCCCTTGTACCTACTGAAAAGCGTTCTTCTGAGATTCAGACGATGGCAATTCTTTTACGGCATCTTTCCCAAATACTCGATGGTTTTTTAGAAAAACGAACATTTTTTGAGCTTGAGGATCAAACCTGTGTTCGAAATACTTCCAAGACTTTTTGTAAATTTTCGATGATATAATAACATCGTCCAGGTGAAGAAACACAACAGTATTCTTTAAACTTTCAAGGATTTTGTTCATTAGCCTTTGAAAAACAGCTGGCGCGTTCATCTGACCAAATGGCATTCATCAGAACTAGAAGTATCATTTAGGTGTTTCGAATGTTGTCTTTCAAATGGTATTCTTAACGACAGATATCTGGTAGTATCCTGACGCTATATCAAGGTACGTAAAGTATTGATTACCTCCTAATGTACCTATTTGGTCCTTGACTAAGGGGAAAGGATATTTAAATTGTTTCGTTATTGCATTCAACTTGCGATAATCTACGCACATCCTTGTTATCCCCTATTTTTATTTTTACCGGCGTAATCAGATTTTCTGATTATTCTGTTTTCTAATAATTCTATAATTATTTAATGAATAATTTACTTTTCCAGTTCCGCGAGACGATAAGGGTAATACGCAATTAGTTTATCCGTAAGGAATTTAATCTCTATCGACACCGTATTCATTTTTCCAAACTCATCGATGACAATATCGTTTTATTCGTTATGCCGAAAATCACTATATTGATTAGTTTTTCATTTGTCAGATTGATGCTCAGTTCTCTGATTAGATTTAATTTCTGGAAACAATAGTCTCCAAGTGGTTGCCCGTGCTTTATCTCATATATGTAGATCTGCCTCCTACAACGGTTTCAAAAGAAAGATCTTAATCTGGACCCAGGTGATTGAATTGCATTAGGATGTTATACCACTGTCTGGCATATATCCTCGTAATCGTGTTGTGATTAGTCGCACCATACCCAATTTTTTATGGAGAAGTCCTCCCTCGATGAATCGTATACTGGAATTACATTTTCATTCCCTAGAATCGCGAAACTCGGCAATCTAGTTCGCGACGTAGAACTATGCGTACTTAAACTGTTTTCCTCGGCGCAATCGAGACAAGAAAATTACAAGATTCGGAATTGTTTCTCCGCCGACTATTCAAGCGCACACGCGAAATATGCCTTCCTCGGCTGCGCAAACGCGAACTCGAATTACGCCTGGATGTAAGTGATTGCGCAAGAGCGTTTAAAAAACTCTTTCATCAGACATCAAAAATTCCATGGAATTGTCTGTCCTTTCGGATGCACCCTCTTTATCACGACTGCACAATGTCCGATTAATTTTTAATTTTTCCATAATAATATAATATTCAACATTCAGTCAAGATGTAAAATTAACCAAATATAATACATATGTACACTTAATATTAGTCATATCAAGAATTACGACTATTAACATTAAATGCATACTTTATAGTGCATTCGAACAATCTGTATACAATGCGAGTATGCGAGTACACTCGTAAAATGTACACTACACGAACAGTATATACATATATTTCACTTCTGATATGTAAGTTAAACGAAATAGCTCGATGAAAGTGTGAGGTTTCATCGAATGAATATCGTGGGCGCATTAAAAATATCTCAGGTTTCTTTATTTTATCGTTTCACGACGAAAGCCGGTACAAGAATGTCTTCAATGACACGAATTCGTCCTGAAGGCACCCCTGTTAGCATGATCGTTGTTTAGGACACTTGAGCACATGAAATACTTGAGAAACTTCCCTTAAGAAGGAAATTGTGCCAATGAAAAGGCACATGATCTGCCTTGACTATTCGTCGATTCTTATTTTTTTAACAGTTTTTTACATAAAAATTTATACGTGTAGTCTGTTTTCATAAAAGAAAAATTATAATTTTAAAGATTCATATTTTTGAAATTAATATAACATTAGCAATTTAATGACTTCCTACTCGTCTAATTTTACACACAATAAAACTCGTGCACGTTCAACGATGGTTAAAAATGTTTGAACCTTGTAATTGGAGGTAAATTCGATCGAAAATACAGATTTGTTCAAAAAAAATTACTGTTAAGAACAATAGTTAAAATTAAGCGTATCCGAACCTGACACGACTGGAGACACTTTGAACGAATAACTAATTTGCAACGAATAACCAAGGAACAAGATGCATCCGAAACGAATGACGCTAATAAATATACTTTTCGAGAAAATTGCATCCGGCGGCGTTGACGGGATGATACGAGACATTTCTTTCAGACTTCCGCAAAATGTCGGAAGTTTAAGGAAGCATGTCGATTGGTTCACGTTCGTAACTAACTCGTTAATTTTCCAATCAACATGCCTCTTGATGTTGTGATCACCCTCTTTTGTGCCCTTAGCGCGCCTTTTTTGGAAGAGGGTGAGGAAGATAACATCGAATGTGTTAGGATTTCGAAGACAACATGCACGTTGTTCAAAAAATTCTGCTATGTAAAAACCACTTTCGGTACTCATCGGGAAAAAACCCCGTTTATAATAGAAGTAATTATTGAAGATGAAAACGAAAATTATTATTTTAATATAGACATTCTACAAAATCTACTTTTGGACGAATTTTTTAAGACGATGGTAAATCTATTAAAGATATCGTATAAAAATTATGTTACTCATAATACTTTTTACTTTTCCAATAAAATATTACATAAAAGGTATAATACGACAAAGTGTTTACATTGATCAAAGTTCGTTTCCCGCTTTTTTTATCAAATCTTTGTATGTTGAGATTCTTTGAATCTAAATATCCGTAAATCCATAATGCATACGTATAGTTCGTATGCCACCAAATAAGCTTAATTAAAGCAAAAAAACGCATTGCTTTGTATATACTTTCGCCGAAAATGAATAATTGTTTACAATTATCTCCGATTCTCATGGATCAAATATTTAAAATATGATTCAAAGATAAGATGTATACATATATGGAGAATTGATACCATTCAACTTTGCGATATAGTGCTAAAAATTATTGATATTTTTTTTTAATTGCGTGATTTGGGAAAATTTTACAACCTTGTCACTTCATTTTAGACATGCAAGGGTAGGGTGAAAAGTTTTGGTTCTCATATAAACATAACAGTATTATCCTTAGTGGTTTGACAGCTCTAGATAATTCAACATTTAGACGTCAACAACATTTTTCAATCTCACATACGTTACATGCTCTACAGTTCCATAATCATGATTGGCTGTCAGTCTGCTTATATCGTCAAAAAGATAAATTAATCGCAGAGTTTCGAATCACGAAGAAGTACAAAGCTTCGAATTCTTGCAACTCAAAACTTTCTGTGTTTCGAGGTTTTAACATTTTGGAAATCCTTAGTCCTGATAATCTGTCAAAATAAAACTTTAGGATATTTCGATGACAATGTTCCAACTCACACTTCAGTCATTGCAATGGCAACAATCAATAAATCACGATTCAAATTGCTTCAACACCTACCATATTCACCTGACTTGACTTCAAATAACTATTGTAGCATCTGTTTCCTAATCTCAAAAAACAGCATGAAGGAAAGCGATTTTTTACCAATAATAAAGATATTGTTGTCGTAGTTGGTTATTTCGAAGAATTGGACAAATCGAATAAAAATATATTATTGCTTATTTAAATTCGGAACTTTTCATCTTAACAGCATATTTCTGCTTTGGAAATGATGTCTCCCATGCAAAGTCTAACATTACAATTCAATAGTCCTTGGTCAGAAATATATCCGTTCAAAAAAACTTTAAAAATAGTAATCCAGAAACGAATTACAGATGACCGTATGCGACTATCTTGAACATTACATGTATTTTACATTCTCGTAATAAACTATAGGATATAGAAAGTTTTATTTATTTTTGGTTTATAAACATACTTTTTTGCACTTTTCATTCTGAATAACCACTTTTACTCTAAAATCAACTAAAACCTAATGCGAAATAATATTCTTACATTAGTATGAATAAATCCAATGACGGTATTTATCAAATGTCTATCATATTCATCGTTTAGATTTTAGATCAACACATATTTGTATCTTACAATAAAAACAAAGAAAAAGATGTTATCAAATAATCTTTTATTTTCTAATAGATTTTTATGTGTGAAATGTACGTAAGTGTTTTACAAATTAAAAAATGGATGTCACAGAAAGAATTTTCAGTATTACACTTATACGATAGTTGATACAACAAGTTTATTCTATATTAATTAACAGAAAAATAGATTGGCAAAAAGTTACATGCTGCACCGATTGCTATAATACAAATGCGATCATAATGGGAGAAAGGTACGAAAAGAATCTCGATATAATTGTAAATTCCGTAATGTAAGAATATGTGCCGCGCCTTGTTCCATGATATACCATATGAAAGAAAATTTTTAATTCCTTTTTGTTATTTTGTGTTAATATTATATATTATATATGTGTTTTGAAAAATAAAATATTGTTTTTCCCTTGCTATAAAATTATCGTTTCGCGCATAATTATGTTCAATTATTCAATTTCATGCATAAAAAGATGACTTTGTTTCATCTTTGTCAATAAGCAAAAGAGTGTCAAAGCATTAATAACATTTTTTCATAATATCGTTATTAAATATTTAAATATTTACAAACTGCATTATCATATCTATATTTTTAACATTATTTATTTAAAATCAATAAATCATATATTTGTTATAATTTCAGAATGTATTGAAGAGCAAAGTGGATGCAAAAGATGCAGAGGTGGAATATGTACAAGATGTGCAGTTTTGCAACATGAAGGAAATTGTGTTAATATTTGTCCACCAGGTCATATTGCAGATTGGTCAACTACAGAGGAATATATAGGTAAAATATGTAAAGAGACCAAATATGCATTTGGATTTACTGGTAGTCAAATAGCCATTTTAGTAGGAATTGTTTCCGGTGCAACTTTATGTATACTTGTCCTACTCTGTGGAGTCATAATTGTACACAAAAAAAAAAAAGAAACTACTGCATTAATTCAACAATTTGTAAATAGGTACATCATTATTAACAATTCATTAGTTAACAAATCAACAATCATTAGTTAATAAAAATAACTATTTTCTCTTACGTTTCAGTATAGAAAGGAAAGAATTCCTGGAAAATTTGGCAATACTTAGAAGAGAAGGTAATACATTTCTGACTATACTCAATAATATTAGAAAACAAGTCAGAGGATTATGTGATTCAATAAACAATGAAAATAATGCTGTTGAAATACAAACATATCGGTATAACTATTAATACATTTAATAAAAATTTATAAATTATGAATATTTAATATATATTTATGTATTTTTTAATTACAATTACAATTTACAGACCAATTCTATATGACTTAACAAGAATATTAATTCTTATTAACAAAAAAGATGATAAAATATTAATTCCGCCACATGACTGGCAAAGACTTTTTTTGGAGGGAAACAGACTATTAAAGCAATACAAAAAGCAGAATTTTGCAGAAGTGAGTAAATTAATTTATTAAAAAATATGTTTAACGGTTTTGATCTTGATCATTTCATTATTTGAAATTCTTTTATGCAAGTCCATAAAACAGTGTAGTGAACTATATACATTAAAAGAATCATTAATATAAGTACTTGTTAAAAATACATTATTAGTAGTACGTTTATAAAAAATAATGATACATAGGATGAAAGTATATACGACTTATTAATAGTTTAAAAATTAAAATATTATATTTTAAGGTGGGTCAACTTATAACATTCTTAGAACAACCAAGAGTATCAGTGCAGTTAACTTCATCACAACGTGTAGTATATAATAACCAGAACCAAGTTAAAGAACTTCAAGAGCTTGCTGTTTCAACTTTTCATACATATAATACTGGTATGACTCTAACAGGATCTACTTGTGCAATTGAGGAATGTGAAGCAAATGAACTCAATCATGAATTGAATCTTCAATGGAAATTTCAAAATACTGTAGAGGCTACTAACTACGCTATTTTAACTGACTGGTCCCCTGTTCATGAGTGCTGTGTTAATGACTTTACAAGTCTTGGTTTTCGACCTCAAGATGAAATAACCACAGAATTATAAATAATATATTTTCGTTTTATAATTAATATATTTTTTACACAATTTTATTATAAAACTAATTTTACAAAAAAAAAATAATTTCCCATTTTTATATAAATTAAAAAATTGTAATATTTAATACTAATATATAAAAAATGCATATGTTACCAAAATAATTTATTTATATAATGCGTTTTTAGAAATTTATATTTCCATTATTATTAAAAGTTGTACTTGTAATAAAAATATTTATTAGTAAGTATCAGAATAATTAACGAGTATATAATGCTAACTACTATGAGTATAGATTTATTTATATTTTAAATTTCTTTCTCATTGTAATATAAGTAAATATTGCATTTAAAATAACGCCAATCAGAAGAGTACATATACATTTGTATTTTACTTTCTTTTATACCTATATGACATTTGTCAGAATGTGAATCTTCAAATTTTATTCACTGGTTTCATACAAATAATAATTTATGATATTAAATAATAAAATATATATATATATATATTTATTTATTTATTTATTTATCTATTTATCGTTGTTATTCTTTTTTATTATTTAATATATATATATATATTATTTTTAGGTTATATATATATGGAATAATTTATAATAACTACAAATAATTATAATTTACCACGAAACTATTTATAGCAATCCTAATCAATAATGTTCTCCAATTTATATTTTATTAAAAGGAGCATCTTAGTATTTGATTTATGTACATATTATACCAACTCTTTGGTATAATTTACCAACAATTCAACAATTCTATTTTGGCACTTACAATGTCTTCTAAGAACAAACAATCCAGTGCAAAGTGTTAACTAAATTTTCAATTAATACGTACTTTCGATACAAAAGTAAGAACTTACTACAAAACGGAAATACATTTAATAAATTAATAGAAAATTAACATTGTAAAAGTATTTACATTTTAGAAATGTGATATAATAAAAAAATGCAACATTTAATAATATTCTGCTCCCTGGTACACATATTGTACATATGAAAAGATATGAGAAGTGAACTGGATTACAAGATATGAATAATTTTAATCACTTCAGGTTACTATTTTATAACTAAGAACAAGACAAAAAAAAGGTACTGCGTTAATATTGAATGAAAAAAAGTGACGGATGAAATAACTCAATAAAAGCATACAACTATACTTGTTAAAATTGAACCGATATAGTAGCATACAGTACTCATATAATAATAATAATAATAATAATAATAATATGATTTCTAAAGCATGCAAGACATGTGAGTATGCATCCACTAAACCACTTTTTGAATAGGCAGAATACATTTTTATTATATTTGACAACTCCAATGATGAGGGAAATGATAAATGATTTTCAGTTTTCGTACCCGTATATCTCTCATTACATACAGTTCTTGATGCAAATCTTTACATGGTTACTGTACTCAATGAACATTAAGTATTGGCATATAACTGATTCTTGTATGATATATGACGCAAAAAATAAATAGATCTTTAAAATGTTTACAAAACTGATCTACTATCATCCTATATTTTATGTAAATTTAAAAAATTAATTTAGAAAATATTCTATTAATCCTCAATAACATATTATTACAAACAATTGATATTGAAAACAGACTTGACAATTAGTACAACTTTTATAAAGTAACTAAAATTAATCATAAGGTAATATTGTGCACATGCAAAAGACGTAATGAAACTTACAAAAATATATCTTCCTAGAGAAGTAAAAAAACTGTTTTTAAATATAAGTAAATACAATTAGACTCAGATCAAACACACAAAATAGACCCTATGACTCGAACTCAAATTTTTCTTTAATATTGAGAAAATTAAGTTTGAAATTTAAATGTGTTAAAAAAGTTTAACACAATGTCTCAATAAAAATTAAGTTATATTTAGTGCTTAACATGTAACAATTGCACACACAGGAATTTGTAGTAAATTACAAGTAGTGCATAAATTATGAAACATTTGGAAAATAATATTGTCATTATTTAATCATTAATATTATTATTATTTTCATAGAATGCATTTATAGAATACAACACTGTCACTTGAATTTAGAAAGTTATGAAAATAAATGAATGAGATTTTTATAATTATTTGAGAAGTACTTTTGCAATATTTTCATAGCGATAAGTTAAAAATCAGGTATTGTTAGTTATGTAACTTTTATTGTGTAATAGTACATTATATCTAAATTGCAACTTTAATAAATGAAAATTAATTTTTTATTAAAGATTGATAACTTTTAATCAAATAGATCTACTATTAATAAATCATGTAGGAAGTAAGTAAAGAACAAATTAAAAGGAAGTAATAATTCAAGTAAGGCAGTAATTATTAAAAATAAAATTAATAAAGTACTATGTGACTAAATGTATAAAAAAATATAAAGAAATGCGCAATGTTCGATTTGTAAAAAAAAATCTTCATTAGTAAAATAAATCATACCAAATTATTATAGTTTATAAAATTCTATATTTATAAAAATACATATTACCTTCTAAATATTTTTGCATAATATTTTTGTATAAAAATATATTTCACATATTTTAAACGAGTAAATATACAATGATAGGTTAAAAACTAATTGTGAAGCTTGCCTTGGGATACAAGAAAATAACAAAAATAAGTGAGGCATCTACTAAAACAAACCTGTCCAAAATTTCTATTCAGGAACTTGATTGATAATGTTAGAAGTTATGCCATACAAGATATTTGTAGTGTTATTTTCAATCCATTAAATACTGCAAGAGAAAACTATATAAAACATTTTTCTCATGAGAAGTGTTTATGCTATTAATTATATGATCAGTTTGTGCAACAAAATACTTTTGGAGTAACTGAAAATGTTTTTAGCTCCTGGAATAGGGTTTGGAAGTTAAAGTAAGTTTATTCTAGTTTGTTCTAGAATAATAAAGATACACATCTACATAGAAACATAGGGAATTAGAGATTTAGTACTTCTTTAGATATGGAATAATGAACAATTTGTAGTATCCAAATATTTTATGTACCTATTAAACATTTTTTCTAAATACTGCTAGATTATGATTGAGAAACAAGTATTAATCTCACTAAAAATTACTCTAAAAATGTTATTAATAAGTTGTATTAACATGTATAATATGTATATTTTATACACAATACATTTACAATACCTTAATGTAAATCTAAATAAAAATTTACTTATACACATGAAAACATATTACCTAGCCTTAATAATATCTGTTCATTTGAAATAATAAGTGTATGAAGCAATAAATGTGAAGACATTTTTATATCTCACTATATTTATATTGTTTATTTACACTCTATTCTTTCAATTAAAAATATGTTTAATAGTTGTTATTGTTTAATTTATTATTAATTTATTAGCAGTCAATATTTCATTTATTGCAAAATATTAGTTATATTATATACATTTGAAACTAATTTCTAAGCATTTTAAACTCTTATTACGTACCTTATTCATCGATATATATGTGTATGAATGCATGAATGCGGAGTTATTAAAATTTTTTTATTATACTTGTAACTTTTATTTTACGAAATTATTTCCTTTGATTTGTATTTTATAATATTCCTATAAAAATACAGTCATATTCTGTAATAATTTGATTTAAGATCATTATAAAATTATGATGAATAAATAATATTGTATAAATTAACAATATAGAAATACTGAAAACATATTATTTTTAAATTATTAGATTAAATAAGTAATTATATTTCACATATAATACCATATTATATAAAAACATGATTTTAATTTCATACACAATGTTATAAATATAATCCAAAACTACACTAACTACAATAGAATAATGCAAAATGAATACGTGTGTAAGTGAACTATTCGTACTTACATACTATTCACATATTTTTAAATTGGCGGCTTTTTAAATAGGAAGTGATGGAAATGGCGTGCGCATTCAGGTACTGCGCGCGCATACTGAATGATTAATAATGAACACTTCATGAATTTCATTTTATTATGTTAAAAATTTGATGGTTTATTTCTTGAAAATTTTATTAAAAATTTGTTTCTCATTATAATATCCTTATTCATCATGTGATTTTTATGTAAAAAGTAATTAAAAGATGGACGATTAAATGATATACTTAACGCGTAAGTTCCTGCGGGGTGGGTGAAGGACGCCATGACAGTCGTATTTTCTGTTAACTACGAGCACGTAAGCTCTTGCCACCGTTTCCGCGAAATTCTTGTTCAACTTGGTATTTATTTAGATAAAAATTGGCAATTCCGATTTCTGAATTTGCCAAACTTTCCTTCGAGTATATTTTGGTGGTGGAAGGCAAGAGAGCGTGGCCATTATCAACGATTTGTTTGTGGGTACTCATGGCGAGGTGAGACGTCGAGAGGTGGCGAAAGGCGTCCCCCCTTGCGTCGGGACGCGCATCTCTCTGTGTACGAGACGACTTAGGGCCAACGAAGTGAGATGCCAGAACCGCCGACGGCACTATGCACCATGTGAGTCCATCCTGCGAGCTCTGTCGATTATTGTTTTGACCCTGTCGAACAGTTTTCGTTTTCCTTCTGCCCCGAATCCCGAGGAACCTCCATCTTGTGGCCCCTTGTCCTCGTTCTACGAGTCACGATAATTGACGCGTCATATGTCTGAGACACCAGAAGATGGTGCCCGTGAACCCTCTCTTAAATACGAGGGGATCTGCGGCGAATGCTGGCAAATATGGAAATACAGCTACGTACTCGTTAGAGCCGCTGGTACGCCACTATTTTAGTATTTTACTATTAGTCTTTGTTGTCTTCGAAGGAAAATATCGGATGACTCACCTTTCCCGCTCACTTGACAAAAAGCTTTTAAATACCGTGAGGTTACATTAACTATTTTATTTTTTGTACATACTAACACTTTCTTTGTCATATTAACTTTTTATATGAGTATTATATAATAGCAACTGTCCATTCAATAAAGATCATTGTGTTCAACATGAATTATTTTACTTGTTAATATTATTCCGAATGCGTTTCGAAATTTATAGACACATTTATTTCATTAGTGCAAGTGATATAAAGGGCAAAGGAATAATTTCAATAACTATACATTATATCTCTCTTTTAAGAATAAGTGCATTCTATATCTATATTAATAACTAAATAACGAAAATATTATTACCTTTTGTAAATTAACATGAATTAATTTTGATGTATCTATAGGTTTTGAATTAATTCTAACAAAATTGTTTTGCAGGATGAGAAATAAAATATATCACAAACATCTAGTTAGTATCCAATGAACAAAGATGAACAGTGACCAACATGCATTGCCAGCGACTACGCAGGCACAACAAGAGGTAAGAATATTTTGAATGAATACAGGCCATTTGCCAAACTACAAATGCGCAACGACTATTTAGAGTTTAATTATTTACATATATTATGAATCAAGGTAATGTGAATATGTAATTGTTTTTATAAAAGATTTGTTTCTTTATAACTCACTAGTTTGTTAAGTCTATTTTACATTTAACAGTAATTTAAAGGTTTAACAGTTGTAGTTAATGTTGTTTGTGGTTTTTGAGTATAAGCTTATGTTTTATAGAATTAATCAACTGGCCATTTATAAATGTCAGCTGTTAGTGATTCAGAACATAAACATGGGTTACTGTATGAAGAATATATGCTACATTATACATCGCTATCAGTGTATTTTCAAATCGCATTTAGCTACAGTGTTGTAATATTGCAGAAATAGCAGAAATATTTTTTTATCTGACAAGGCTTATATTCAAAAGTTCTAAAAGCTTTAACTATAGTAAACTGAACAATGAATGCAACAAAACTCTATTTTACCTTTGACTAATCATTTTTTAAATAATTTTTAGTTACTTATATTTATTTATTGCATATTATTTTATGTATAATGTATTCAAAGTACTTGTTTATATAATTTGTGATACATGAATGACAATATGATGATAAATTGTTTTAGAAAAACAGAATGTTCTTTAAAAGAATGCTAAAAGTCTTGTTATTTGAACAAAAATTAAGATCATTCTAAGTTCCTTAAACTGTATTATTTATTAGTTTTTTTAATAACATATACAAGAACATATTAGTCAAGTATATAATTAAAAATTGGGTGGGACTGATTTGTGATATTTGACATTATGATGCAATAAATAACATTAAACTAATATATTCATTGCTGTTGAGGCTTTCAGGTGTAAGTCGTGTCCTAAAGGAGAAAGTGTCCTATCTACAATGCTGGCGAAACATTGGAAACTTTCTTCCTTTAGGATATGACTTATATCCGTAAGCCTCAACAGCAAAAACTGTCTGACACCGGACCATGAAAGCCTAAAATCTTTCAATATATTGATTGATAGTGTTTAAAACTATTGATACTGACTGCCGTGATCATTAGTCCCTTATTGTACTGTATAGTTATTTTTAGGACTGTAGTAATTCTGCTTATATCAATAAATACAATTTTCCAATTTATATTAGGAATATAAATTTGCCCCTGATTTTAATGTTAAAAGGTTTCTTATTTTGATAGTAGAAAAGAAGATGATTTTATAAAATTTAAATAGAAAAGCATTAGATGTATTAATTTGTAGATTTATTCAAATTTTCCAGATTTATTTAACAAAATGTTTGTTCTTTTGCTTTAAAATCAACTGTTGTAGTTGTTTCAAATAATGGATCCAGAAGGATTCTTAATCTGTATATGTAGACATGATTATAGACTAAAATAACATGATTGAAAAGTATTGAAAAATAAAGAAATGGTAGAGCCACAAAAAACATTGTTTTCAAGAAAATGCAATTAAACTTTCAAATATTATTTAAAGGTATTTAAAAGCAAAACAGTTTATTATATTTCTAAATAATCAACCATTCCAAGATTGTAAATTCTGTTTTTCTACAAAACTATAGTTATTCTGGGTGCACTACTGGTCATCTTAAGAGTACCAGAACATTATTTTCAAAAGTTTGTTTTGTTCACATATTGTAAATAGTGTGTGTGTGTGTGTGTATATATATATACATGTATATATATAATGTCTATCAGTTTAATATAACCTTTTATTTCTTGTAACAGATATTAGGTGACTTAGGAATTTACGATTTTGTCATAAAAAGAAATCCCTTAAATGTGAATGAAAATTACATATTTCATAGTTCCATTTAAAGCTATTACTGATTGTATAAAATTTTCATACTTTGTTTATAATCTCTCTTACATTAATTATCTAAACCTTTGTATAAAATACTTATCAATTTATCGCACATGATAATTTTGGGTATTTACACTTTTTTTTTTATAAATTTTCTACATATTTTCTACATATTTTTTTTTTTTTTTTTTATTTTATTTTATTATAAAAATTAATTTGATCAGAAAAATAGTTTCTTATAGATAGTGATATATTATAAATGCCATGTATAACACAACTCATTAAAGTGTGATGTTATCATTTAATTATAAATTGAATTATAATAATGAAAATACTTTTGAGAATGATAAATAAGTTCAAATCTGAATGTTTTTCTTCTTTTTATTTTTTATCTTACAATAGTCCTTATTAATTAGGAGAACCTACAAGTTTTGAAGGTTATAAAGAACATAAATGCAACATATAATTTTACGCTATAGACTAAAGAATCTTAAAGAATTTTAGACATTTTAAAAGCTGGGCTACACATACAATTATAAATCATAGATACAGCAGTCCAGTTGTTTATGTTAGTGTTTGTAACATGTGAAAATCCCCATACAGAATTGAAAAAACAAGTAATCACTTATTCAGCAGAAATGATAGAAATTTGAAACTCCCTCTTGTAAGTTTTTAACCCTAAAGGTCTTGGAAACCTTGGAGGTCTCAATAGTATTGAATATTTTGATTCATTGAAGTCGTATGTAATTATGAACCTCGTTTTATTTCCTTCTAATAATAGATATTTACAATATACTATAGTTTTAGGTTCTCATGATCTATTGAAATTATTGTTGTTTAAGGTTTGTGAAGTAACAGCACAAAGACATTTGGAAAAAGCTTATTTTTTCTGAACTATTTGAAAGGTATACAAACTTGCTGTACTGTTATTGATAGGATGTTCAGATGTACATATTTTGAACAATATAAGAGAATATATTTATTTTATAAAATGCATACATATATTTAGCTAAGATATTTATATGGGTCATTGTAGAGTACGCGTAATGAATAAAGATAATAGTTTCTTGATTTGTTTACATTTCATTAATTCGAGGATCACTTGAAATGGTTTAAGAGAGAAACATTTTTTAAATCTATATCAGTGTTACTTCAATTTAGTGTATGAAGTTTAATTATAATAATTTTTAGAAAAATGTTAGATGTTAAAAGAAATGTTAATATTTCTATAAAAGATGTTTGTATTTTAGAGTGAGAAATATAGTAAACATGATTATTTAAAAATTTCTGAATGTTTAATCACAAACATTTAATGTTGATGCAAAAGTAGAAGTTGATGCATTTCAAAATACTAAAGGAAATCAAACCTTTAGTTAGAAAACTATTGTTAAAAAGAATGTGTTTAGATTTCAAGTTTGTTTATCTTATAAACAAAAAGATTTATATGCTACTTATAATATATTGTCTAATTTGGGACGATAATATTTATCATTTCTACTTATTGAAGATTGATAGATATTGTAGTATATTGTATGTGCAGTTTTTATTCCTAGACTATAAAAAATGTATAAATAAGATGTTATATTATCATTAAATAAATTAACCTCTTAAGCACGACACGCCACTATAGCAGTTTTCGCGAATACCATCTCTTTGTACGACCGATGACGGTCCACTATAGAATTTAATAAATTTGAATTGAATGATCGTTTTTATATGTTGTTGATTTGCATTTTTTTTTTTGCCTTCACAATGTTTTATAAGAGTATTACCAAATCTCACAAAAAATATATTACATATTAAAAAAAAAAGATAATTCTAAGTAGTTTGAGTGCTATGGGTGGAGTATATCTTTTGCACTAATACATAATGTATATTGGAATCATTTGATATTTTGTCAATTTTCTAAAAAGTAATTTATCAAAGTTAAAGTATATGTTTCATATCTTTAGAAAAAATTATGGTAAATATTGACAAAAGGGGACCCAGCCCCAATCACATTGACCTTGACATATGTTGTCAAGGTCACTGTCCTGAGTAACCTACAATAAATTTTAGCCGTCGCTCATTGTTTATTCAAAAGTTATTAACAATAAAAGTTACTAAATAAAATGAATACTGTGACATTACATACATTTAAATATATTATATGTCTGAACATCCTAAAACACCCCTTACACCCAGGCAAGACAAAATTAGAGGTTAGGTTAGGTTAGGTTAAGTTAAGTTAGGTCAGGTCAATATTAACCTAGATGTCCAATCTGTGGGCTCGTACGTCGAGATCGATCGAATATTGACAAAAGGGATAAATATTGACCTAACCTAACCTCATTTTGCCTTGCCTGGGTGTAAGAGGTGTTCGAGGATGTTCAAACATGTAATATATTTAAATGTATGTAATGTCACAAATATTCATTTTATTTAGTAACTTTTATTGTTAATAACTTTTGAATAAACAATGAGCGACGGCTAAAATTTATTGTAGGTTACTCAGGACAGTGACCTTGACAACATATGTCAAGGTCAATGTGATTGGGGCTGGGTCCCCTTATGTCAATATTTACCAAAATTATAATTTAATCATCAAACACTTAATTCCAATGTATTCATGGAGAGAACAGCATTATCCGTCATATATTGTAGTGTGGTATCGTTTACGCGTAACTCGCATCGAACTCTATCATACAGCGCTGTATAAAGTTCTGCCGTGTCTAATTGTAAGAGGTCAATTGCTAAGTGTGCTGATTTTTAATTAATAGTAGCGTAAAGTGAAAAGAGTCAAAGCTTTTAATATTTTTTGTATGTGGTAATTCCAAAAATATATCTGTATTTGCTTAATTCAATATAAAATGGAGTTATCATCGATTACTTTGTACACGAATATAATTTTTTCTTATACATATTCATATAATTCAGCTTAGTATTATTTTAATACCATCTCAAATATTTTAAATCTATAACTTAAGTATTTTAAAAGTTTATTCCTAAATCTGATATTAGGTGAAAGAAGAACGATTTTTTTTTTTCAAATTGTCGTTGTACTGTTTTCTCTTCTATCATATCCAAGATATTATACGAGATGTGACACAAAAGTAACGAGACTAGATCTGTAGCTTGAAAAAACAATGGAATTGGCAGCAATTGTTTTTTGTGGCATCATCTCACATACC